GCGCGCTAAAGAGAAAAACTCCCCAAAAAAAAAAAAAAAAAAAAAAAAAAAAAAGAAGTTACCACGAGAAGTCTTAAAATCACTGGATGGAGGGACCTTTTGGTCATTTAAATAGGGTAGTGATTTCAAATGAAGGCAGTTTTGCCTCCCAGGGAATATGTGGCAGTATCTGGAGACATTTTCTATTGTCAACACTGTGTGTGAGGGTGGTACTACTGGTATTGACTGGGTAGAGACCAGGGCCATTGCTAAACTTCCTATAGTGCACAATTCTACAGCGTGAGCCCCCTGTAATAAAGAATTGTTCAGCCTAAAATGTCAATAGTGCCCTGGCTGAGGAAGCCAGATGTAGGGTCATCACAGAGGAATGTTGTGGCTGTTTCTGGGAGTACCTTGCTTTGATAGGCTTTAATCTCTTCGTAGGTGTGGGTCTGCCACGCCAGCTGGTGCAGCTCTTCCATGGTGTACTGACACGTCTCCAAATGGGACTTAATGATGTTCTGTGCAATTCGATCTGCGAGAAAAAATATCAATCTGAGGCTTTGTGAATAAAATCACTCTGCTCGAAGAAACTTGTTTTTAATGTTTACTGTAGGAATGCCTTCCGGAGATTCTTTGATTAGGTTGTGTTTAACACTACTGTCTGTCTTATAACCTCCTGCTAACCTCTTTATTGCTTTTTAAAACTTTTCCGTCTTTTAATCAAAATTTGTTGCTTTCTCCCTCTTTTGGATCATAACCTTGGATCATATGAGTTGAATGGAATTCAAATAATGATTTATTTTAAAATACATAAGAAATTATCATATATTTTTTTCTTTTTTGCTTAAATGTCCACTAGCAGTCTTAACATTTATACTCCAAATACTTAAAAATGTTTTGAAAGTCATGAGGGCCCAATTGTTTATTTCAGAAAGAGCCAATTAATATTTACTATTATGTGAAAAAGGGAGAATTGGCAGTAAGCTGAAAAAAGATGAAGATTATCTACAAAGAAAAGATGGAAGATAGGAATAGAAGCAAGATTTCTCTGATGGCATTATTTTTGTAGATTTGCCTTTGGAACTGTATACGTATCTTATATAATTAGTAATGGGTGAGAAGTTTACCTGAAATAACATTGGCCTATGAGAGATAATTATTAAGCTGGATCATGGGTGCCATTGTATTCTCTTTTCTAATTTATATATGATGGAATTTTCCTTTAAAAATGTTTAAAAGAGAAAGTGATTATATTCATAAAAATGTAGTAACAAACACAATTAATCTTTCTGGGCAGTTTATCCCAAATGAGTTGTGCTTTGTATAACATCTTAAATACCAACTGTTCTGGCACTGGAGGTATGAAAGTTGAGCGATAGAAGCAGACATAAGAGCTCTCTTTAAAAACTTGTTATGAGTCCCCTGAAGTTGGATAGAACTAGTAGGTGGTCCCTTGTAATCCCATCTGCTATTTGAACACATGAACAAGGTGACAGCTTGAGAAACCAAAATACACAGGAATTCCGTATGTGGGGTGTGAAAGGAATGAAGATGACCAAATTTTGTGCCCGATAATTGCTCTTGGCTCATACAGAAATGGAATTTTTCTTATGTTTCAGATTGTGTCATTTCTAAGTGGCCATATTTCATTTATGCAGAATGGCCTGGAAAGCAGCATTTGGGTATTTTCTTTTTACCTCACTAAGAATTCGATATATATGGTGTGAAGTTAATTGACTGTCAAAGAAGTACAGGATACAAATTCTAAGCTTAAGCTTCTAATGGACTTTTCAAATAAAAACATCCTGTAATGTACCTGGAACTTTATAAGCAACAAATAAATGATAGTCTCAAATGTCATTGTTAAGACAGTCTATATGATTTGTTATCAGAGAAGCACTGTGTGATTAACTCCAGTGGAGATGACACAGATATTTAATTTTTTCAATCATTCTACAAAGGAAGATTTTTCAATATTTCTTAGGTTTTTTCCAATCAGAACTATAACGTGATAGAGGTGGAAGATGCTACAAAATGTTAACTTATGAAGATAACTGTCTACTAGATTCAGCATTAAGCATGTCTAGACTTACATTGTTTATCATATCACAAAATCCTCACTTTAAAAAATCCTATAATTAACATTTTATTTAATACTTCCTTGTATTTTTTTTTGGGGGGGGGAGAGATTTTTGCTATAGGGCGCGTGCGCTCGCCAGAAAGACAGGGACAGAGAGATAGAAAGCAAGAAATCATCCCCCATGGGGGATGGTCACGCCGTAATCTGTTCTCCTCCATTCTCCTCTCGGGATCTTGGGCACACACGCACACCTGCCTGGTGTGAGTTTAAGCCACCCGGTCCAGGACTCAAACCGCAGTTGGCTACATGGGAGTTCAGAGACATAGCCATTACGCTAACTGCTGGTCCCAACTTCCTGGTGTGTTATAGAAAAGGTCAAGAATTACTCCACGCATCTTATTAAAACAGATTGGCATGACATAGCTCCTCACTTTTCAACTTCACTTGGGGAGTGTATAAGAATAAAAAATCATTTCTTTTCTCTGGGAGGTGTATAATGAACACATGAAACTTTGATAGCTTTATAGTTTTTAAACCATTGTCATTTTGGTATAGCTTGTTTGCATCATCCAAAATAGGCTTTTTTTTTTTTTTGTAATTTACAGGTTTTAGTTTATGAGCAAAAGGACAATTACTGCTCAAAATTGATTACGGAAAACTACTTCTTTATGCTATGTCCTGGGAACTGCTGGCCAATGTTTAAGAATTTTCTGGCTTTTTCTCATAAAATCTTAGGATTCTACGAGGTATGGGATCAGCCAGGCATAACAACTATGTGGGCAGGTTAAGCAAAATTGGAAGTTAAATCCACATGTATATTTCAGGGCTCGACTCAGCTCTCTGTTCCTGGTGGAGGCCTCTCTGCCTTCCTGTGTCTTCACGTGGAAGGACTGGCTGCCTTTTCCTTTTGACTCTGCCTCCAGTTGTGCTGTTATTCCAGTGGGGCCCATACTGTCATTATTTGTGTGAATCTGTCAGCTTCATGCCCTTCAAGGTTCTGAACTATTCAAGAACTGAATGAGAGTTTCCAGCACAGTGCCATCTTTTCCATGTACCATGTCACAAGTGCAGCGCCTTCCATACAACAAATGTTTTTAGAGAAACTGCTATGAACCATGTCAAGGTAAAGATCGGAAACAAACAAACAAAAAAGCCGATTGCCTTTGTTTTTTAAGGTTCTCACAATCATATCAGAAGTTTGTCACATAGAAAAGAGACAGACGTAGCTCAGATAGAAGAAAGGATCTAATGGAGACACAGATAGGAAACTAGCCCTTGGCTAGGGAATTTCAGACATTATCACATTGCTTTACAACCAATCTGCTGAGGAAAAAAGTGAGATACAGAAAGAGTGAATGACTCTAGACCATTTTTTTTACAGAGTTGTTGGGTGTGCCTTTTCTGACAAGAAGTCTGGTGTGTTTGTGACATGGTACATGGAAAAGATGGGGAGGGATGAGACCAGGGTAGAAACTGTACCTAGGGCTGAGACAGCTGAGGAAGCAGGCCAAGGAACTGTATCTTGCAGGATTCTTGGATTTTATCTTATCTGGAAGGCAACTGGGAGCCTGTGAAATCTATAAAGCTGGTCAGTTTTTTGTTTTAGAAAGGTGATGTTGGCCATGGCAAGGAGCAGATGGCATTGCTGAGTACGTGCGATCGATCAAACTGTTGTGAAAATTCATGCAAGACATGAGGCGTGTCTGGATTAGGTGATAATGACAGAGATGGGGTAGAAGGGCTGGAATCCAGATAATTCTGAAGGAGAACTCACAGGTCCAGCAGATGCGACAATGACAGGGACAGGATATAGGAATAGTAGGTGTCTGACTAATGTTGAGTTAGTAAAGATAATGATGAAAATACTGATACCCATCACCCAATCATCTGTCCACACATCCATCCAAACAGCCATCCCTTATTTCACAAAGATTTGAGACAGCTAAGACTGAATTTTTGTCTGACATGCCTAAAGTCTAAGCACCCAGATTGGCTTTGAAGTCAAACATTAAGCATGGACAATGATTTCTCAAGGTCTTGTGGAGAGAAATAAAAGTCAACTCTTTCCGACATTGGCGTGTAAATGGCAAGAAAGGCACAGTAGCTGCAGTTGCAGACACATTCCTCTTCTGTTTCCCCCTTTGTTCTGCAGAGCAAAGGTGAGCCACGTGCAAAAGTGACTTGGCCCTCTACGGCGCAGGTCGGTAAAGCACACGGTAAAGCTAGACTTGGTCTCATGGGGACAGGGCTGGAGGGCTCATTCTGTTGATTAGAAAGATCTTGAACATCAGAGGAGATGGTTTGCTTGGACTGAGAGTCTGCAGTTGTGAAAAGGGGAGAAGGATTTAAAAAGAAGGGACAAAGGAAGAAACAATGAATACAGTATGCAAAGTTCCTGCTGGGAGCCAAAGGAACTTTCAAGAGTCCTTGCCTGGCAAAGTAGAAAAGGTAACAGTAAACGTAGTCCTCTCCGGGGACCAACCACATGAGAAAGTCCAGACAAAAGAGACTGAGGCAAAAGAGCAGAGGATATGGAATCTTTCTGGGCAATCGCAAACCCTTCATCCGTTACCCTGACTTGGATAGCAGCTGTTTTTCCCAGCCCAGTTTTTGTCAGATTCCTTAATTAGCTTGGGCTGTGGACAGTACATGCCAAAGAAATCAGTTTATGATGCTAGGATAAGGGGTCCAACAGGAAAATGGCCCAGATGATGAACCGATGGGAAATTGTACCACCTTCCGAGGTGACACCCACTCTGTACTCTGCCCTTCCTGAGACCAGGGATGAGGCTGGATATTTCTTAAGTGGCTGTGAAAAGGAACTTGAAGCTACAACTACTCCGTACTCAAGATTTTTCATATATGATCAGAGAGACAAGAGGTTTGTTCAATTCACAGAGTGTGTGGGCTGCCTTGATAGTTAATTAAAAGATGTTGAGGAATGAGAAAAACAATTTTATGTGCTCGGTCATTTCTTTTCCATCACAATGAAGTAAAACGTCCATGTTGCCAAGGACAACTGGGTGTGCAATTGCAGGTTAACATTATACCCATGTTCCTCACGCTCTATCTGATCATTTTGTGATAAATAGGCTGATGCCATTTTTTTCTGTCTTTCTCCTTTTCCCTTTGTATATAAAAGATCTTCACAAAGCCCATAGAAGATGTGTCTTATGAACAAATTTTGCATGGATTTTGAAAATTGTTTGCACCATGTAAACTCATGCTCTTAATTCCAGACTTTTTGAAACCCCTTTGTGTAACCATACATATAAACATAAATAACTGTTTTCTCCATTAACATTACCGTTCTGTTTTACACATTGGCCCTGGTACTGTTCTTAGAGGAAGTCTTATTGGAACCCAAGATTTATATATGATTAGCAGAACTTGTAAGTTCATATATTATGTAACTTTATGAGATTGAAATGACAATGTGTAATTCTTTCAAA